TCTTGCCAATGTTTTCAATTTTTTTTTCAATTGTTCTATGATCACTTAATTTAGTTTGCAATTTCCAATGTTGTGTTCTTATCACTCAATAAATTTGTAATATTCGGTTTCTCTTTTAAGGTTAGCTCTTTCATTAGACCCTTGGCAATTTTTATCAGAAATATAAAAAAAAAAAAAACATTAACTATATATATATATATATATATATATATATATATATATATATATATATATATATATATGAATAGTTTAACCAAAAAGTATTAGGACTGGTGCTATAAAAAACAATACATATCAATTTAGTATTTAATCTCCTTTGAAGTAGTCTCCTTCTGAAGTGGTTTGACTTTATCCAGCAATGTTTCTATTGATTGAAACATCTGGAACTCCTTTTTTTGGGATAGCAAACAGCTGACTTGTCACATTATCTTTCCTCAAAGTCTTAAAATTTTGTTCTTATCAAGTTGGATTTGATTTTCGAAGAGGAAAAAATTGCAAGTGGGGGAGATCTGGGGAATTTCACACAAGCCATGGTCACTGACAGAACCTCTGTGGTGTCGTGAGATGGTCACACTGTACAGACTTTTCTTCTAAGCACTGCTATAAACAATGAAAGTGAGCAAGAACATTATAACTTAATGTGTGTGTATATGCAACAGAGTTCAAGGTCAATCTGTGCCAAGTAGCTTCACTCTGTGTATTTTAGCTGTCACCATAGCAACAGTATTGATACTTTTTGATCAGACCTCTGTGTGTGTGTGTGTGTACGCAATACAAAGAACGACTCTAAAACATTGTACAACAAAATATGTTCTTGTAAATATTTCTAAAAACAACCACAACAGATAAACTGAATTTCATGTGGTATATTTATGATATATCCTGACAATTTGTCAATATGTTTTATAATAGAAATTTTATTGGAGAACATTGACTTGCTCAATGAAATTTGACATACTGCATATGAAAATGTTATTATTTGAATCTTTATCTTCAAGAGTCATGGCATATCAAAGAAAATATCTTATATGCCACTTCAAAGGCTGAATATAAAATGGATATCATATTGGTTAACATTAAATTATCAATTTATTTCAACTGGAAAATTCATAGAAAAAGTCATTTATTCAATCAAAATAATACCCATTGGATTCTAAAGATTTATTTCACCATAACAAATCATCAATTCCTTTATTAAAGAATTCTTAATCCAAGGAATTAATAAATTTATTGAAGGCTTTGAGCTGATCTTGATTGGCAATGTTATTGTTTTTCCCTGTTAATTTGTAAAGACAAAAGAAAAACAAAAGAATTTTAGTAATCTATAAAAGACAGTGAATTAACAAAGAAAAAAATGTTTAAGTATAATACAGAATGCATTTGACTCCATTTTGTAAAGTTATGCGAACAATATAAATTATATTAAAATAAGGTTTTAAAAATGCATCAATAAATAGAGTATTTTAAAAATTCTAAACAAAATAATAGGAAGTCATTTTTTAGATAAATTGCAAAGTAATTATTTTCAAATAAGAACTAGTTAGTACCTGTCGCTTTGCTGATAGCAAGATGATCAAATTTCAAATCTAAATTTTCTCCATTTAAAATACATTAGAAAATACAGAAAGAATTATAAAAATTTTATTTCAAAGGGTTATACTCTTTTCCTGTTACTCAAGAGTTGTTGCCAAACAAGAAAGGGAAATTAGTTCTATTGACACAGATGCTCATTTCATTTTTCCTCAAATTGTGTGTGTATGATTGCTTGTTTTTGTGCATGTACATTTTAATTCAATGATAGACTTTAAAATATTTCTAAAAAATAAACTTAAAATAAGTTTTTATGTAATACTTTCTGAAAAACTCAATAAAATCTTATAATTATCTAATTTTTTAGGGTTTAAAAAAATTAACCTTTATTTCTCATCTCCAACTTTATTTTATTGCCTGATCCAGACTAGGGGTTGTCCAAATTGAGTGAATGAAGAATGTATTATTCGAATGTCTTATTTCATATGCAGTCAAATTGTGTGTGTGCTTGTCAGCATATTAAATGGTACAAGCATATATGTCACTCACACACAAGTCATATACAAAGAAATAGCTCTACTTTTAAAATACAGATTTACATAATTTGTATAAAAAATGTCTGGAAAATAAATATTACAAAATATAGCTTTTCAATTTTAAAAATCCAATCACTTTGATAGTTTGAAATATCTTCTCTTTTAGGTTGCGACAAGTCACACTAATCTGTTATTAATTGTATTAACTGATCAGAAAGAGAATGAATCATTTCATGGATAAATGAAAAAACATTTTCACTTTTTATTGCCAAACTAGTTTAATTTTCTTTACCTTTTTGCCAGTATTAACTAAGCCCCACCATTTAGGATAAAAAAGATTACACAAAGATTAGACCTAGAAGTAAGTAGAAACACTCTAAAAAATGATGCTTCTGCCACACTTGTTATAGGACTAGCTGCTCAAAGAAATGACTATTTTCATGTTTTAAATTAGAATGCTTCTCCATCTTTAATTGAGACTAACATTACATAAGTGGCTCGAATGTTCATTTGGGAAGGGGAAATAACTCTTAATGTCTTAGAATTATAGTAAAAAAAAACAAATCAATAAATAAAGGAAAATTTTTTCTTCTTTATCAACAATTTTTTTTAGGAATTCTTACCGTAACTAAATATTTTTTTATATACTAGTTTCAAGTTTGGTTAAAATAATAAAAAAAGAAAAACAAGTTGATGGATCTTTTTTTTTTTTTTTTTTTTTTTAAATTTATCTCCCACTTACGAAAATTCCCAGATTTTTCTGACTAAAAGTAAGTAAAACCATTCGTGATTTTTTGAGTTTTGGTAAATGTGTGTGTGTAAAAATAATGTTTACAATTGCGCCGCCCCGTGAACGAACGAAAGAAATAATAGTTCGTAGGACAGGCAAAGCCCTGGAAGAACAAAATATCTCAAGCAAGCAAAAATTTCTTTCGACATCGCCCAACTGGCTGGAATCCGTGGGTGCTGCTAGGAACAAACAAAACTTTTCTTCTGCATTTAAATACGAACTCTTGTAGATTAAGAAATAGAATTTTGTACACTTCGATATTGCTTTACGCTGGTTGCTAAAGTTTCTACAACATTGTTAATTGTGAAAGTTTTGAGAAATTAATTTTATTTATACTCATGTAAAAAATCAAATTTAGAAGTTTATTCTTTTAGGCTAACAATGCTATTTTTGAACAATTTTATTTTAAATTTCAAAATATTCAGTTTTTTTCCAATAAGAGTTTAAATTTTTTTTTAATATTTTTAATTGAAAGGCAGTTTTCATTGCTTTTAATTGAAAAGGAAAAATACTTTGAAAAGTTAAATAGGGAAATAAGCTATGTTAAAAAAAAAACTTTTTTTTTTTTTTTTAAAATAAACATTGTTTTTTTGTTACCACACCTTGCATCAAGTGGATCCGATAAGCCACTAAGAAAGTGTCAACAGTTGAGAAATTAAAATTGATTCTGGTTTGCGATTTAAAAGAAAAAAAAAAGTTTTTATTGGAAAGTAGTTAGTAATTAACATTGACATGCCGACAATCTAATTAAAAAAACAAAAAAAAAACCAATTCGCTTCATAAAGCGAAACATCTTTTTTTAAAAAACTATTTTAAAAAGAAAAAACCCCAAAGAGCAGTTTTTTTTTTTACTCTTCTTCCAAGAATTTTAAAATGTACTTTAAAAAATTTGCACTACTTTTTTTTTTAGTTCTGAATTACAGTATTTCCCCCATTATTCGTTGATAATTTTTAAAACATTATTAACTTGCAGTTTCCAAAGTTTGAGCCGAGTGTAAGTCAATTCGAAGCATTTTTATATACAACGGTTGTGTCAATCAAACGTGTGGGACGAGCGAAGGGGGAGTTACGATTAACCAATGGCACGGTAAGTAACCACGTGGTTGGGAGAGTCTATTTTACTTCATGGAGTCAACTGCTTTGCTTGCAGAAAGATTAAAAAAAATGTCAACAAAACCACGTTTTTTGAATGTGCTACGTTATTTTGAGGGTTTGTTTTTCAAAATAAATTTTTTTAAATATGGAACGGGGTAAAACAAAATTAAATCGGTAAACATTTTTTCCACAGGTTCACATACTTGTTGAATATTTATTTATTATTTTAAATGTAACTCGCTTTCATCACAAACTTAATAAGAGCTTATTTTCAAATTTTACTAAACATGCTATTATTTCTCTCTCTCTAGCGAGTCTTTCTTTACCTACTCTGATAATGACTTCGAAAGCTTGAACCATATTTCCTGTACTTTCTTCCGAAATGAATTTCGGACAATTTCTGACGTAATTAAATTTCTTCATCCTTGTCCGAGAAAGCTTATTTGAAACTTGGGGAAAGCCGATCATTAAAATTGATCGACACAAATTGTCTATCCTTTTTATTTTTGTCCTAAAGAACACTTACTGCCAGAACGTACTACAACTAGGAAACGATTTCTTTATGTAAATTTATTGTATAATTTAAATATAATACCTTTGATGACATTAAATTAAAATAGTAAAACAATTTAAAGTTTAGTACTTTAGAATAAAATTACCTTTTTTGTTAAATTCATTGTTTTTAAAATTCGTTTACGTTTGGTTTATGTTTCTAACTGGCTCGACAGCACCGACCACGTGTTCGCAAATATCGACATGTGCTTCGCATTCAAAAAAGATATTAAAAGATGTGTAACTGTATCAAAATGGCAAAATAAAATAAGTACAGGCTATCTGAAGGATTTATCCTAGTTGATTGTTACTAGTTCGAAGGGTAATCGATGAAAAAAAGCACTAAAAAGGGTCGATAAAAAGCGTGTGATTAAACGGCGTCTGCGCAATGCTGAGATTCAAGTATTGGCGCCCATTTCCGGCATTGGCTCACATGGTTGAATCCAAATCAGCCAAGCTCCTGCTGCCAACGAAAAATAGGCCTCTGTTCCGCAAGGATGGACCAAATACCAGCGGCCATGGACAGGCACCTGGACGTAATTTACTGTCATAAAGGTACGTTAGCTTTTTGACGCTATTTTGATACGATTTAATTTATTTTGTGACTTATGTCTAGTAAATACCTTGCCTGATTAGAAACATCATGGTGTCATGGAAGGAAGAACGTAATCAAGATGACATGTCGTTATTTTTACTTGACTGTTAATTTAATGTAAAAAATGGGATAATCTAAACAATTAATGCATCAGGAACCGGTTCTTAAATTTGTTTTGTTTCTAGACTAGATTTGGTCTTTAAATATGTATTAATTTGGTTAGAATAATCATCCAAATTTTTAACGTCATGTCGTTGACTGTTCTGTTAAAGGCAAAAAGGAGAGTTGTTCATGTTACCTTGAAAAAAAAAGATTTCTGTCCCTTTTCTTTTTGTTCATTTGTGATTGATTTGTTTTATTTTCAAAGAAAAATTGATCTTGAAATGCAATGAATTTTAGTTCTTGACGAAATTTTTAAAAATCAAAATCTACTGCTACGTAAGAATCGGAATGGGGGTTTTGTGAACTTTTTATTCGTCATGATCGTAGCCTTGTTAAAAATAACGAATCCTTGTTAAAATCATGAAGTTACGATCGAAAAAGTCGAATTACTAAATGCTCGTGTAGATTCTTAAGTCTAAATAAATTAAAAAAATAAGACAACTGTAACCTTATTAAACCTTGTTGAATTCAAACAAACAAATCGTAATTTTCGGTTAGAAAAGGGGCATTTTTCTTTAAATCTAAAAAGGCTAAAAGACCTATTCTGATTCTAGTAGCGGCTAGCCCACCTTGTTTAACCAGTTAGGAATCTTTACTGAAAATGAATAAATATTTACTCTTCACAAACAATTTATTTACTACAGTTGTATTTTTATTTTCTGTTTTGTTTGTTTCATTTAATAATCCCGTATTTCCTAAAATATGGTCCATTTTTTTTCTTATTCCATTCTAATAAAAAATAGCTTTTTTTTTTCTTGATTAGTTTTTTTTTTTACTCGCTGTCCCTTCTACCTTAAATTACAAAAGAATAAACGTAATAATTTTAATTAAACAATTTTTTTTTTATTATTGTCGATTGATACGGGACCTTTTTAAAACGATGTTCGTATGACTTCTTTTGAGTCTTGGAACTCCAAGATTAAGCAAAATTACAAAAATGTTACTTAAAATAGCCCAGAAAATTAAAACAATTGTCTGGAAAAACATTTCGTTTGTCTCTTTCAAAAGCAAAAAAAAATTCAAAATGTTCGTTTTTAAAAGTTGAACTAAGAATTAAAAAAAGAAAACAACAAAAAAAAACCCCAAAAAAATATACCAACTTGAATATTTTGAAAACATTCTGCCAAAAAAAAAAAAAAAAAAAAAAACAATTTTTGTTTGAGAAAAAAAAAAGCCATTAATTTTTTTTGTTTTGTGGAAAAATGTACAAATATTTTGAGTTTATTCTTCAATTATTACTACATTTTTTACAATTTGAATTTTTAGTGACTTACATGATTTTACAAAAAGCTTACTTTCTACAAAAGAAAATTATGAAAAAACCCGTTTTCTTTTTCTTTCTTTACTCTTTTTTTTCCCTCTCTAGTATTTGTTAAATTTTAACAAGCAACTGATATTTTTCTTGAAAATAATGCTTTTTACTTTTGTCGGACTTCTGAATTGGTTAGAGTTCCGATCGTTTTCTTTTTTTTTTTTTCTTTTTTTTTATTATCCCTGTTCTGGTTAGTTGGGCATTTCAAGAAATTTAACTTGTTTTTGTACTAAATTTGACATCCAAGGGCGGGGTGGTGAGCGTCGAAGCAGTAACCAATTTCTTCGATTCCTTGTGTGTGCGCGCATGTAGCTTGTAACCATTTTTTTTTCTTAATTGCTTTATCTATGAATGATTAGCATTTTTGTCTTGTTTATTCTTTGTATGTGTGTACATATTTTAATTTTTACATACACAATGGCACTTTCACGTTTTTTTGTATTTTTAAAAAGTTGAAAGGATAGTAACAATTTGATACAGAGTAGGCCAGCTTCAAGCCCAGACTTAAATTTTGTTTTTAAAAAAAGTAAAAGCACTTTTTAATTCTTAAATGATCAGATTTTTAGGGTTTCATAATGAAAAGTACTAAAGATTGTAGATGCTACATACACAATAATCTACCAAATGATGTGATAAAAACAGAAAACTCTTAAAAATTCTGATGCCTACACAACAATAGGAAAGGTTTTTAGCTTGAAGTTTGTGTAAAAATAAAATGGATCTTGAAAATAGTAAATTTTGTACGCTTCAAATATTTTCTTGTTAAACTTACGGATAATTAACAAAATTTTGTTTAAAAAAAGACTAGTCTGAAACCTACAAAAGATGACGCTTGTCATTATTTGCGCGCGTAAAGATGGTGGGGGGGGGTTGTCATCCCCTAAGGGCCGCTTGTTTGTTTATTTGCGCCTGCCTTTTTCTCTTTGCACAAGGTTCCTAGAATTATGGCTTTTTTTCGTTTCCCAAAGAAAATATTTTCTCTTTATTTGAGAACCTGTGGTCGGTTAGAGGAGTTCTGTTAATTTCACAAACGATACTATCTCGCTCCAATCTCAAGATGAACCATTCCTCTTCCTCACTATTCTGCTAGTAGACGAATAAACACATCATTGAATTAAATTTATTTGCCAGTTCTAACTTCCTCTTTTTCCATGTAGAGTTTTCATTCATTACTCACTTCAGACTTTTCAGTCTTTGCACTTTTTTTAATATAAAAGTATAATTTTTTGCCCTAATTTGAAATTTCTTTTTGTGTGTGTGGTATTGTGACTCTACCAGAAGTAGAACCTCACATTTCTAAGTTTGCAATCATTTGCCCAAAGTTAAAAAAAGTAGTACTTATTGTCTACACATGTAAGTGATGCATACTTGGATATGATATATTTTTGTTAAAAATTGTTTTTTAAATAGAAAACTTACTGTGAAGGCTTTTTCTTTTTCACAATTCTTGGATTTTGCTCTCGGCATACCTAGTGGCTTAAAAATTAAACTAATTTTGTTTTGATGATTAGGATTTGCTAAGTATTTACTGTAAATGTTTTAGTTTTTCTTTTAACTTTGTAGTTTTTACAAATCAATTATTTTCAAACCATTAAAATTAAAAATGTGAATGCAACCAAAGTGAAAAATTTTCATTTCAAAGCTTTAAAAAAAAAAAAAGAAAGAAAATTAACTTTAGTTTTAAAAAAAAAAAGTAAAACAATTTTAAAAGTTTGAAATTTCTTTTGATAAAATTTTCATGAGCCGATTCTTCAAGAATCGGCTCATGAAAATATGATATGTATTATTTAGTTTTTGAAAAACTAAATAATACATATCATTTAAATTTGTATTTAGTGTGTGTGTATTCTAAGATTCTTCACTATCATCACATTTTTGTAGACCGGCAAATATTCCCGCGCGCGTGTTCTCTTTTTTTACTTTTTAAATGAAAAGAATTCATTGATAATTCTGTACATTGTTAGCTCTCCTTAGTTAAAAAAACAACAACAAAAAAAAAAAACATGCTGAAAAACTGTCTACAAGTTGTCCGAAAGATTTGAGGTTATTTGAACACTGACATTGAACCCGTGTTTCATCTTTTTGTGTCTCCTTGGGCATATCTTCATACAAAACTTCAGGAATCCATTTTTTTTGTGTCTAAATTTCCCCCAAAAAACTGCGGCTAGTACTTCAAGACAAGTAGGTTTCTATTTGCAAGCTTGTGAATAAGTGCTTAACATTTTTCCAAATCCGTATTCAATTCAGGCAATAAAAAAAAATTAAAAAAATTCTTGTTTTTTTATGAAAAACTATATGGATAATAATTGTGTGAAGCTTTTTGACTCCATGAAGTTTTTCAGGTTTTGTATTTTGTCATTGTTAACTTTATTAATTTCAAGGTTTATCCTAAAATATGAAAGCACTTCACTATGTCTGCTGTAAAATATTTTTTCTTGCAAGCCATTGTTTTAAGTTTCATCCTTTCTGTATGTACCAAAACTCTGCCTAGCTAAGTAGATGTGATTTTGTTTTTTTTTGTAAAAATGATTTCTTTTATATTTGTTCATTGTAATTCTTGATTCCGTTTCGGACGTTTAATTTTGTAAAAGTATTTATTTATGCAATTCATATATTTAAAATACATCATTAAAAAAAAAAAAATCTTCATGACACAAAGGAAAGCGTTTTCAAAGAGAATTTCAGCTTTTAAAAAGGATTCATCATCAGACTAAAAAAAAAAAAAACTCTGTTTAAAGTAGGCAATTCGTGTTTTTTACTTTCTGTACGTTTGTACTGTCTCTGGTATAGCTAAACTCCAAACTTTTGAAATGTTTTTTTAAAGCTTTGATAAACAATTTATTTCATAATACATTGAACTTTAAACACGTCATCGCATCTTATCTTGGAAAATGTGTTGTTTATGAGGTTTATAATTCTGAGATATTTTTGATTTGGTTTTATTAGGCTAAAAATTAATTCTGTAACTTATCACACTTACAGTAATCAATCTAATTTGAGCAAATGTAAAAATGAAGTTTAGAAACTTCACTCGGGAAAATTGCTTTTCTCTACGTTTGGGAATAAGTACAATTTCCTCACTCACTCGTACACATAAAAAAAGGAAAGCTTATGCGCTTCATCCTGTGTGGGACTTTATCAAAGCTTCGTCTTTATTCATATAATCTTTTTTTTTACACGCGTGTATGGCATAGCTGGAATTTTAAACGATTTTAATGAAATTTGTATAGGAAACAAAAACAGTTAATTTGAATTAAGTGTCTACACATGTTGACTCAGATATTGTAGTCATTGGAGCTTGTGGGCTAAGTAAGTAATAGTGTTTAGTACTGCTGAACTTCTTTTATTTTCTAAATTAGCCTTTCACCATTGAGTTGGAAATATTTGACATATTCAAAGAAATTCTACATTTCAGTTGACCATCTATAAAATGTGTTTAAAGAAAATTGACTGGACAACCACATGATGCTTTCTTATTAACAAGTG